GACCTGGTTTCTGTCTTTAGGATGAGGGGAACAGGTTGAGTCATTTGGCACTGATAAAGTGAGTTCTCTTGTCCTTGAGCAGCAGTGTTCTGGTGGCCCTTGGTGGCTTTTTCTGTCTCCTTCTGCCTTTCTTCCCTGGGCTGTGCTTGTGGGTTATTCACAGCTTAGAAAGTTTAACTTTAGTTCTGACTTTTCAAAAGCCCTATGTATGGGAACAGGCCCCACACCCCTACCATAGAAGTTTGTTTTCTAAACCTGAGGAGAGATGTTTTATGTCTCAGAGTAGAACAGTGTAATTTCCTTAAATTGTAAATCATAAAAACACTGGCTTTAGAACCATTGTTTAATTATATCACTAGTAAATAATGCATGTTTGTTGGAAGCATTTGATATGCTTTGTCATCCCCTAGTTTCTTATATACCTCAATTTTGTATTGCTGTTACTGTCCTACCATAGTTTTAAACTCAGAAAGAGTGAAACCTGTGGGGACTATTATTTTACCACATTTAATATGTGAGAGCATTCAAGCTTAAAAGTTATTTGCATGCGGGTTAATAAGTTGCAAAGCCAGGACTCAAACTCAAGTAATTAGGGCTGAATCAGATGATCTCTGAATTTATTTCTAGCTTTAGTTTTCTGTGATTCGTCTTTGTTTGACTAGTGAAGAGGAGGAGTTAGGTGAGGATTTCTTATGGTGGTGTGTCCCGGTGGGCTTGTGGAGCTCTGGAGGGGTGCTCCCACCTGCGCTTAATGCTGTGGTAGTTGGTGTCCTCTGAAGATGATGTGTAATGTGTAAACCTTTAGGCTGGTGGTGGACGCTCATGCTGCTGGACACAGGGAGAACCTGAGGTCTTCTCTCTCAGCATTGTTTAGTCATTGGCTTTTGTTTGGGAAAAAAACATAGGTGCAAACACCTCAGCACTGACAGAAGTCATCTTGGGAACACTTTGACCCAGAGAAGGAATTAGTGGTTGTAAAAAGAACTATAATTCCTAGATCATGTAATTTTAGTCTGATTCATTTGGGAACAACACATTACCTTCTTTTTATAGGTATTTCATCTTTGGTTGGATTATTGCCCTATCTGGAAATACTGTGCCTAGGGCAATAAATTTATTTGTCACTTTTGTTTACATTGAACATCTCTTCCTTGTGTTTTGACTGTGGAAAGAAGATTCTGGAGTCTTTTTAACACAATGCTGCCCCTGTCTGGTAATTGTGTATTACTGCATTAGGAAGTCCACTAGCCTGTCTGTTGCCTTTATTATTATTATTATTTTTTATTTTTTAAAGAGAATACAAAAAAGAATACAAAATAATGATAATTAAAAACCATTAGAAACAATATAGAATTTTACTAAACAAAAATACAAGTTCCACAATATTTGTTGTATTGTATAGCATCTCAGCTGCCTTTAAATCTTAGATATACACATCAGACCAGTGATAACGTGTGTTACCAGTGAGTGCACTGGTGTCAGAATGACAGAAATGACCTCAAAACTGAGGCTGCTTGAATCACAGGTTTGGTTTTTTTTAACTTTGTAAATCCCAGCCACTGTACCTAAAAGGCATTTTTGTGGTGCTTCAGGTTTCCAGACATCTTCAATGTGTTCTAATCTTTTTTTTTTTTTTTTAATTTTAGGGAAGGGTCTACAGGGTGTTCAGGGTCTCACTACTAGATCGGACTCATAGTGAACCGCCTGTTTACAGCCTCCCAAGAGCTGGGGTTACAGGTGCGCTCCACCATGCCCAGTCTCAATTGCTGTCTTAGTGGCCACAGTGCCCCAGGGGTGGGGTCCACACAGCAGGCCTGGGGATTGAATTCCTATTCCCGCACCTGCTTGCAGGTGCTTTAATTCGCTGAGCTATTTTGCTGGCCCTTAACATCTCTAATGTGTTGCAGTAATCCGAAAGGCTTCATTCACAGACCTCAGATCAGTCGTTGGGGCTGCTGGCAGGCCACAGTTCCCCTGTGTTCTGTTAAGCAGTGCTGTGTGATCCAGGAAAGTAGGTAGAGCACTGCCTCATCTTTTCATGACACCATGTTTTGATGGAGAAAGAACTTGTACCTCTCTCCACAGAGTTCTTGAAATTATTCTATGAGGCACTGGTTGTAGTCACTTGCTAACAAAGTATCAGCTCATTCAGATGTTGTCTTTTTAAGTATTACAATAATTATTTTACGGGTTTCCTTACCCGCATTTTGCAGGAGAGGACAGGCTCGAAAATCTTAGTAAGTGCTCAGGGTCCAGTTGGTGGCCCTGGCATTTGAAGTGCATTGAGCTTTCTGTATTCTTTGCAGTTGTCTGTGTTCCCACCCTGGAGCACTTGAGCTCGGGTTTATTCTTACCATTCTAGCCTTGATTTCCTAAAAAGAACTTGAATTTCATTACTCTTGGTTTTCAATTAGGGGCTATTCTGTTCGCAGAGGGATATTTGGTAATGTTTCCAGGCATTGTTGGTTGTCATTACTGGGGAGGGGTGCCACTGGCATTTGGGCGTTGGAAATTAGGGGTTTTGTTAAACATACTGCAGTGTGAGAGTCACCTGGCCAAGATGTCAGGACTGCCAGGGGAGGAGTCCCTGCATCAGACAGTACATTTTATTTAAGAGAGTTCATCCCTGAACACTCCCATAGGCTCTGTTCTTTCTGTCTCCTTCCGCCCTTCTTCCCTGATCTGTGCTTGTCAGTTATACTTTTCTTTCCATAATGAGTTTTACTTCTCTTTCCATAGTGAGTAATGACATCCTAGTCCTACTTTTTGTCATTTTTCCTGGTAAAGAAGCAGATAGCTTCCTGAGGGGAGGAGTAAATAATTTTCCCTCTACATGTTTTAAGTTCTTGGCAAAATAACGCCTGTGGTGACGGAGTGTTTCAGGACTGTCATTACTCTAGTTTCCTCTGCCCTGTGGTCATTCTCTCCATGTCCAGCATGTGGACCTCACTGCTTGTAGGTTTAGTTAGGAGTTAAAAGACTTAGTTGCTCTGTTGCTCAGTGGGGGCCAGCCTGAGGCAGGATGCTTTTTCTCCTGTTACTACCCCAAAGTGCTGCACACAGGTGCCTGTGTGGGCCCGGATATGTCTTGGGCTTTGTTTTTCTGTCAGGTTTCCTCCTTTGTTTAGAAGGAATCTCACTGAAGTCATTCCATTTGTTCTGGGCAGTTGTTCGGCTTCCATAGTCCACCCCTGAGATTGCTTCTTCCTCTAAATTCTGCATACAACACCATACATATTTCTCCTATTGGTTTGTTATCTTCATATGCAGAATAGAGAATGCAGAATAATTTTTTATCCAGTATGAAAGCCCAAATGAATAAATGCAAAAGACTGCATCATGTAGAACCACTATCTGCGCATGTGGACTGTCCTAGTCAGAACTGTGTTGATGAGAAGTTTTGGTAGGCATGTCTATTCCACAGTTACTTGCAGATCAAGAAGTTTGCTGTTTTATACTGCATACTTTGGAGTAGCCCTTATGCACATTTGAGCTCTATGAAGACTTGGGACCTTTCCTTGCCTTTCTGGTTCTTCTAATATCATAAATATTTTAGCAAAGGGTTTTCTGTTTGTTTTTTTCAGTGTTTTGTAAACTTCTTGTTCTCTTAGTGCAGCCTGTATTTGTGACCTCTCAATAAAGCAGGAAACATTTTCCTTCATTAATGTGGGCTCTTTACATACTGCCATTTTCTTTATAAACATGAGCCCTTGCTTGGATTTTAGCTCACGTGGGTTTCTGACCTGCGGGCTTGTGATGAGAGGGGAGAAGCTGCAAGGAAGTGTGACACTGCAAGCTGGGTGGTGGTATATGCCTGTAACCCCAGCGCTTGCGAGTGTGAGACTGGAGGATTGCTGTGAGTGTGAAGCCAGCCTAAACTACGTAGTGAGTTCAAGACCGACCCGAACTACATAGCGAGATTCTGTCTTAAAAACAAACACCCTCCTCCAACGCACGTACACCAGAAGAAAGAAAAGAAAAAGAGTGACACCATGTTCTCCCTGGGAGGTCTGTGCAGCCTCCACCCCGGCTGAAAAGTGTCCTGGGCACCTTAGTGCAGTTCTTGTTGAGCTGTTCCATGCCTAGCACATAGAGGATGCAGATCACACTGTGGCGCCGCGGCCTTCAAATGGAAGCGCAGTATTTTATCCCTCATTTTTTAGATGAACTGGGAACAAAGCTAACTCTTTTAGACATGGCATTTATGGGACAATGGTCAACATAGAACTAAGTCTTCATTTCTTACCTGTAATTATGTACAAATGGGGATCCAAAGGTAAATAAGACTGGGTTCCGTGTCCCCTGGTACCTTCCTCACCTGCCATTGTCACCCATAGCCTGTTCTGTTCCTTTGGTGCATGGCAATAACTGCAGAATAGTGTGGCACCAAAGCGAAGGGGAGCTCTAATCCAGAGTGTGGAATAGGATAGCCTTGTAGAGGAGGGGGCTTCCTGTAAGGTCTTGCTGGGTGAGTTCTTTGTAGCTTGTTCTTCATAAGTTTCAATAACAAGATAATTAAGGGTTTTTGAAGTACTGCATAGGCGATTCTTTCTTTCTGTTAGTTTTTATAGACAGATTCTTGTTATGAAGTTCAGACTGGCCTCGAACTCACTATGTAGCCCAGGCTGACCTCGAACGTGTGGCAGTCCTCCTGCCTTGGTGTCAGTGGTCTCCCATCCCCACCCTCCTGTGCTGCGACTATAGGCATGTGCCTCCACCTCCAGCTTTTCTGTAGCTAATGTTAAATTAAAATGTAATATTAAATTAATTAATTGATCAAACTCAGAAGATGATACATAGTTTAAAGTTTGATCACTTGTTTTTTTGACATAAACCACTTCAGTGGGTAGAGTAAGAGGGGTTCTGTGGCTGTTTTTTTTAAAGCCCCTGTTAGGGTTGGAGTCTTGATGTTAGTGTACAGAGGCTTTTGATCGTGAGTATGATATGTACTTATGGGCACTGCAATCTTGTTCCTAATGCTGTTAGATTTTCCTTTTCAGAGTAAGAGGGACCATCTACTCATGAACGTCAAATGGTACTACCGTCAGTCTGAAGTTCCAGATTCTGTGTATCAGCACTTGGTGCAGGATCGGCATAATGAAAATGGTAACTATGTCCTTCTAATTCTTTCCTTGTAAACCTTGGCTTTGGGAAAGTTCTTTATAAAATATGTTCACTAAATGGAGATACCCATTATGCTAAATTATCTCTAAAAGAGATTTTTATAACTGAGAACGTTACTGCCCTGGTGTGATGGTTCATGGCTGTAATCCCAGAACTCTTACTGAAGCAGGATTGCAAGTATGAGCCCAACCTGATCAGTGTGAAGGCTCTGGGTATACTCTCTAGTGAGTGCCCACACAGGCTCCCCCAAAGAATGTTGCTGCCGCTCCACCTTCTACTCTTCTCTCCCTCCTTTCTGTTAGTCCTGGGCATTGAATTTAGGATGGGAACGCTAACACATCTAGTGATTCACAGATGCATGTTAAGCCTTACAGGATTGTATTTCCTTTTCAATAATAGGAATTGAATTGAATTATTTGTGTTCAGGATAGTAACGTTGGTTTTCAAGCACTGTTCTCTGAATTATGTTTTGGAGTTCAGCTTTACCTGAGTTCAGAACTAAGGAAGGCAGTGCTAGGTAGCTGGTCTTTTTCTCTTCCTCTGGCCTTGTAGTTCTGCCTAGTAACTGTATTGACACATGAGCTATGCATATAAGATGCAGATTACCTTGTAGTGATGTATAGTATTTTTTAGAAGGTTGATTCTGGAGAGGTGCTAGGCCCATGCTAGATGGTTCATGTCTATCAGCCATGAATCATGTGAGGAAAGTTTGTCCTGTGGCTGGAGGGGAGTTCAGTTTGAAGCTACAGCGGGAGGTGATGCATCCCTTCAATGGTGGTGCTAGGCTGGGGCGGGCTTCTCTGGCCCTGCTTCTTGCCCCTAAGCTCTTGCATGGCCTTTGTTCATAGTTTTTTAAAAATCCTCTTTGAAATGAAACTTCTGTTAAAGCAGTAAAATTATGATACCCACTGAAAACATGAGCTTGCTTATCTTTTCATCAGTGAATCAATGTGGCTTCATTGCATTTTGGAATAGTTGGCAACTAAACTGCCTGCCTGCCTGCCTGCCTGCCTGCCTGCCTGCCTGCCTCCCTCCCTCCCTCCCTCCCTCCCTCCCTTCCTCTCTCTTTCCCTCCCTCTCTCTCTCCCTCTGTGGGTTTTTGCTGTGTAACCCATGCTAGTTTTGAAGTCTTTTCGTCTGTTTTTTTAAGAGCAGGGTTTCACTATGTAGTTCATGGTGGCCTTGAACTCTCTATAGCCCAGGCTCCTGAGTGCTAGGATTACAGGTGTGTGCCACCCTGGCCAGCTTGGTCTTGAACTCTTGGTGATCTTCTGCCTCAGCTTCCTGAGTGCTGAGATCGCAGGAACTGCCTACCACACTTGGCAACATAGTGCTTATTGAATCATTTTAGAATAAACACCCCCAACAAGACACGGAGTCACTTGTCAAAAATTACACATTGTTCTTTTTGTTCTTGTTGTTATTTCTTTGCCCTATTTTGCATTTATGGTGCTAATTAGATATGGTTATTTAGCATGCTTTCTTCAGTGGGTGTTATATTTGGGGAAAAAAAAAGTTTTACAAAGCTTTCTAGCCCATTTTAGGAAATTCAGTTTTAATTTCCTCTTAGTTAATTAAAAGAATTTTTTTTTCTTTTAAATTGACAGACTCTGGAAGAGAACTTGTCATTACAGACCCAGTTATCAAGAACCGAGAACTCTTCATTTCTGATTATGTTGACACGTACCATGCCGCTGCCCTTAGGTAAGCTTGGAGAAGTATCTCCTGTTCATGCTTAGAAATCATGGTGTACGGGAGGTACGAATCCAGTTTGTCTCAGCCTCACGGGGTAAGGGGTAGCACACAAAGCGGTTCTTCTCCCATGTCTAGAGTGAGATCACAGCATTGTTAGTCTTGGGTTAGTGGGATTTCAGAGGTTGTTGGCTTCTTTATTAATCTGGCTTTATCTCTCTTTTTTAAAATAATGAGTTGTGTTTGTACTTTAGTACTGTACAATTAGATTTTTGAAAGTTAATATCCAGGTATTATTTGCCAAGTGTTCAGGGTGAAGCATGCTAGTGGCCTGCTGCCTACTTGATGAGTTGGCGCCCCTCCCAGTAGAAAAAGCTGGTACAGAAATGGATGGTGTAAGTATGGAGGTGTGTTCATGAATTGAGAATCCAGGCAGAATTTATTGCGTTTTCATTTATGTCCTCTTTCAGTTTTTGGTATATCAGAAAATTTTCTTGCTGAAATGATGGGGGTGGGGGTTGTATATTGAAAGTTCTGTTTTTAGACAGAAAGTAACATTGCAACTTGCAACTTATCTTAATAGCTTAAGTAAATTTTCCAAAAAGTGACAGTAGGGGCCTGCCCCTTAGCTCAGTTGTTTAAGTGGCTGCTTCAAAAAAGCAGTCAGCCTCAGGTTGCTGCGGGGTTCGAACCCCACAACTCCAGCCAGACAAACATGCCCTGAAGGCATTCTGAGCCAGACCTCACCCTCCCACACCCCAAATCCAAAAAGTGACAGTAACCATCTGAAATTTTGTCTTCCCTCAAGGAAAGGGAGCCCCTAGTCCGGGGTAGACTAGGTCCCATCGGTGACATGAAAAGTAGTACAACAGTCAGTATCTTGAAAACTCATTCTTCGCTGCAAATACAAAATAAAGTAGTCAGAAAACTATTTTTGTCACCAGGATTTGTCAACTTTAGCTTAAGTGTAATGAAGGACAGTGATGTCTGTCTTCTTGCACCCACAAAATGTTCAATGAAACCACCCGGAGCCTCTCAAGGAAAAGAATTTCAGTGCAGACTAGGGGGAGCTATTGCTGCCAGGCAGGTTGGAGTGAGCTCTTTTGGCTAGAAGCCGTCCCTGTGTGCGCCGTGCCAGCCAGCCTGCCCTCCCTGCTCAGAGATCTGGGCCCCTCCCTCCCTCACCTGTGAGGGAGGCTGCTGTGGGCAGGAGAACTTGCTAAGTGGATACTCACAGGGGATTTCCCATTTTCATGTGGCCTGACATACTCTTCTTTTGATTTTTTTTTTTAAATTTATTTGTGTGGGGGGGGGCAGCTCAGCCCACCAGGGGGCGGGGCTGGCTGGCATGTCGTGCTGGGGGATTGAACTGCAGTCCCTGTGTTTCGCTAAGCTTGTTCTAAGTAGGTGCTTTAGACCACTGAGCCATCTCACCAGCCCCGATTTTTTTTTTTAACAATAGGAAGAATTTATTGATAGAAATCTTCTGTCTAAGAGGAACAGAAGAGGGTCCAGAAAGTGGGTTACCCACTGACTTTTTTTTTTTTTTTTCCTTTTTGAGCTATTTAGCATTTAAATCCTATTCTCCCAGATCCTCTGAAGACGAGTGGGTGCCAGACTTGGCTTGCTGGCAATGTGTGGAAGGAGAGCTGTGCTCAGGTAGACTTCCTGCAGAACTGGAGGAGCACAGTGTGTTTGATCAGCTTTGCTCTGTCTTTGGAGCTCTCTTTCTTTTTTTAAAATGTATTTAGTATAGGGTCTCACCATGCAGATGGGACTTGTAGTGATCCACCTCTTTTCAGCCTCCCAAGAGCTGGGGTTACAGGTGCGTGCCACCAGGCTCAGTCTCAGTCGCCAGCTCAGCCTCCTGGGGGCAGGGCCGGGGCCTGCACAGCTTGTTGTGCCGGGGATTGAACCCCGGCTGCTGTGTTGTGCCTAAGCAGGAACGTTAGTCTGCTGAGCTGGCTGGCCGGCCTTTGGAGCTCACTTTCTAATCAGCAGCCTGCTTGCTTTTTTTTTTTTTTTTTTTAACGGAACCAGTGATTGAACTCAGACCCTTGGGCTTGCCAGGGAAGCACTTACTCTGCTCAGCCATCTCCCCGGCCCCTCAGAAGCCTGCTTGCTAATGCAGCCAGTCAGCGCAAGGTTTCCAGGCTCATGATAGGTGGGACAATGGAGCACCTCACTCTTCCTTGTTTACTTTTTCCTCCCTCTTTCCATCTTGTCTCACTGGGTGAAGAAAATAATTTTATAGAATCTAGAGGTCCAGCTAAGTAGTATATATGACTGATTCAGCATGTTTTGACGTAACTGCTTAAAATGAGTATATTTGCTTGTTTAACAGTGTTATTCAGATTATAACTTTCATCTCTAACTCATTTATTTATTTATTCATTCATTCATTCTTTTTATTTTCTTTTTTATGTTGGAGACAGGGTCCCACTAGGTGTCTTGGGCTGGGCTTGAATAAATGATTCTCCTTCCAGACTCCTGGAGTTACAAGTGTATGCTACCACTCCTAGCTTCAATTTAGCTTTTTTTAGCAGGTAGTTAGAGGAGACCCAGGTGAGATATCTCCAGAGGTGTGTCACTGTGAGGTCTGGTCACCACTGCTGAAGTGCTGCAGTGGCAGTTCTGTTTTTGTCTTTTTTTTTTTTTTTTTTTTTGGCAACTTGAACTCAAGACCTTGTGCTTGCCAGGCAGGTGCTGTGTCCTTGAGCTATCTCCTCGGTCCTGGCAGTCCTTTAGGTTCTTTCAGCATGATGTGTGACTCGGATTCTTGCTTAAGTTTTTTTTTTGTTATGTTTTTCCTGATGTATTATCTTTTAAAGCTCTCATAAAAATTGATAGCTGTATTGTAAAGTTTTCACCTGAAATTTGATTATTATTAATTTCAAATAAAGCACCTCTTTGGGACTTGACAATTAGATTTCTTTCATACAACAGATAAGTGGTCACTTTGTTATAGAATGACGTGGCTTACTAGGTGCTCACTAAAAACTTGTTAAGGGCTGGCGAGATAGCTCAGTAGACTAAGCACCCTGCTTAGGCACGTGCAGCGTCCTGCACGTTGTGCCGGCCCCGCACCTGGGCAAGGTGGTGCACACCTGTGAGTCTAGCGCCAGAGAGTCTGGAAACAGGAGGATCACTGTGGGTTGGATCTGCATAATGAGACCCTGTACAAAATACATAAATTAAAAAAAAAAAAACCAACAAAACTAAGTTCTGACGATTGCTGGCCTGTTGCTTATCTCTGTGTCCCTCCTGTGGCTCAGGAAGCCCACAGCTCTCATTGCGTGGGTGCTGCCTGTGTGGGTTGCCTCCTGCAGCACGTGGTAGGTGGCACAGCTCTGGAGCCTCTGTTCGTGCCTCTCTTGTCACCAAAATTTGATTATTGTCATGTAAGCACGTTTGTGTATATTGCTGGTGGCAGAGGATTGAGGATTAAGGTTTAACTTTGTTGTTTTTTTAAAGTTCTAAAAAATTTTATTAAATATTGGAGTGATTTTCTGTTCAAACTAAATTGTTTTGTAATTTTTGTAATCGATGAGTAATAGTTGTATTATTTCTCATACGCAGTGGGATGTTTTGATATCTGTATACATTGTGGAAAGATTAAGCCAAGCTTTTTAGTTTTGAGTTTTCTTTTCACTTTGTTGTTGTTGTTGTTGTTGTTGTTGTTATGTGTTTGTTTTTGGTACAGGGAATTGAAATCGAGATCTTGCGCTTACTACCCCTGTGCTGCTCCACTGAACTATGTCTCGGCCACACCTTTTCGTAGTCTAGCCATAGGAAAAGTTTTTTTCTTTCTTCACAAATATAAAATAGTACTAGTAAAAATAAAATTCAGTTTTGAGGGAGACACAAGTAAAATAGTCTGAAGGCACATGAAAGTAATCAAATGAATGGTGGAAAAAGAATGGTGGAAAAGGAAAAAGTTGGTGGTATTAATGCTTAGCAAGGTTCTTTTCGAAGATCAGAATGCTCAGTTAGATGGATTCCCATGCTCACAGTAACACTGAGGACTCCAGCCATGCCACCCCCCCCCCCCCCCCCCAGCCAGCTCTGGGGGTGGCTGGTGCCACATGCAGTACCAGGTATTGAACCACTGTCCCTGCGCATGCCTAAGCAGGTGCTTTAGACTGCTGGGCTTTCTTGCTTTCCTACCCATGCCATTCTTGAAGGAAGGAGCCTATGTGTAAATTTTTCTTTCAAGTTGGAGCTAGACTTGGGTCATAAAGAAGCAAGAGCTTTGTCCTTCAGCTACTGTGAAAAGAAAAACATTTCTCTGCAGCTTTTTTTTGGAGGTGGAGGTGGGCAAATTGTGAGATTGAAGTTTTTCCCTACAAAAATTAAGTTTTATTTTCTGAAATGATGGTAAAACTTCACATTAGAGCTAATGTTTCTGAGTCCTTGACCATGTCCGTCCTGAACCCCTCTTTCAAGCTATGTTCCTACTCCTCATTTTCTCACCATGCTATGCTTATCAAGAGACCACTATTAGTAAAGTTAGCATCTTCATCCATCATTTAATATTTCGTTGTCTTAATAGATGAAAGGCCTTGTATTCAGTGATGGGAACACCTAAGTACATGTTCTCTCTGCTTTGAACACTTGATGGTCATTAAAAAAAGGTGGGGCTGGGGATATAGCTCAGTGATTGAGTTTTTGCCTTGCATGCAGAAGGCCTTTAGTTCAATCTCTAGCACCGCAAAAAAAAAAAGAAAAGTTGTAGGTACTAATGTTTTTCATCCAGCCCAGCCATAACCTCCTGCCATGTGAACATCTTTATTGTAGGATCATTATCAGAACAAGAACATTAACATGGATACAATAGCATTGAACTAAGGGTTCCCTTTGAGTGTTAGTAGTGGTGGAGTTCTCAAGTCATATTTGAGATGCCACATTACATTTAGTTGTTTTTTCCTGAGTCTCTAGCCATTTGTAGTGGTTTTCTCATTTTTCTGTCAGGCATGACCTAGATGCTTTTTTTTTTTTTTTTGAGTAGCAAA